CGTGGTGGCTTTAGCTGGGGACTGGTTGCAGGGTCCCTACGTGTACTATCTCTACAGCACTTACGGCTTCGGAAAGGGTGAGATCGGTCAGCTCTTCATCGCTGGTTTCGGATCTTCAATGTTGTTTGGCACCATCGTTGGATCTCTCGCCGACAAACAGTCAGAATCCATTTCCTGACTATTTTTCAATTGAAGGATTGCTTTCGTGTTCTGACTGTTTTTCCTCTCACTCAGGGGTCGCAAGAGAGCTTCTATCACCTACTGCATTACCTACATTCTCAGTTGCATCACCAAACATTCTCCCCAGTACAAAGTTCTGATGGTGGGTCGTGTTCTGGGAGGTATCGCTACTTCTCTGCTCTTTTCTGCCTTTGAGTCTTGGCTAGTTGCTGAGCACAACAAGAGAGCTTTCGAGCAGCAATGGCTATCAGTCACATTCTCCAAGGCAATATTCCTTGGGAATGGATTAGTGGCCATCATAGCTGGACTCTTTGGCAATTACCTTGTGGATTCTCTGGCCCTGGGCCCTGTTGCTCCATTCGATGCTGCAGCTTGCTTTCTTGCTATTGGTATGGCTGTTATAATATCAACATGGTCCGAAAACTATGGAGATCCATCAGAAAACAAGGACCTTATTACCCAATTCAAGAATGCTGCGTCCGCCATCGCTTCTGGTGAAATCTCTTACCTTGCCTGGGTTTAGACTTACGGCTTTATTCCACTAACCACTTTTTTAATTGAATCAGATGAGAAGATCGCGTTGCTTGGTGCTATACAGTCTCTGTTTGAAGGGTCCATGTACACCTTTGTGTTTCTCTGGACTCCTGCTTTGAGCCCAAATGAAGAGGACATTCCACATGGTTTCATATTTGCAACATTCATGCTGGCTTCAATGCTTGGTAGCTCCATTGCCTCTCGTTTGTTGGCACACTCATCTCCAAAAGTAGAGAGCTATATGCAGATCGTGTTTGTGATATCTTCTGCAGCTCTAATGCTTCCTGTTGTAACTAGCGTATGCTCTCTATCTTGATATCTCTCATTGTTTTTATCTTCCATATTCCAGGAGTATTAGCAATATAATAACTTCTCAATTTTCAACTGGAGCAGTTCTTGGTGGCGCCCTCAGGTGTAAAAGGTGGAAGCATATCTTTCTCTGGATGCATTCAGTTAATGGGTTTCTGTACATTTGAGGCGTGTGTAGGAATCTTCTGGCCATCTATTATGAAGATGAGATCGCAATACATTCCAGAGGAAGCCAGAAGCACCATCATGAATTTTTTCCGCATCCCACTCAACATCTTTGTCTGCCTTGTGTTATACAATGTCAGTTTTATAACTCCCATTTTATTCAGACTTCTTCCAGAGAGTGGTGTTAGTATCACTGCTAATAAGGAACATTCTGTTCTTAAACACACTTTACAACCAGTAATTCAATTCTCTAGCGTCTTGAACTTGCAAGCTTTGGCTCGGCCCGAGCGTATCTACTGTTTATTTCGTTTTTAGAACTAGTTATCTAGCCTTTAGATACTACTGTAAGTACTTAAGGGATAATCAATTTTAAGATACATATGGTACCATCTGAAGTTATTTCGTAGTATCCATCATATGGATTATTCATTTGGCTGCAGCAGACTAGTATAGGAAAGATGCATTTCCATTGACTGAACGAGTTTTTTCTGTTCTTTGTATGCCAAAGGTTGACGCGTTTCCAATGACCGTGATGTTTGGAATGTGCTCTGTATTCCTTTTCATAGCCTCTATGTTGCAGAGGAGGTTGATGAATGTAGCCGAGATCCACAAATCAAGTAAGTCTTCTGACATTACTCTAGGGAATTAATAGTAAAGTAGCACACATGATTGATTGATTAGGTCATAGAAAGTAACTAGTGGACTTGGGGATATTCTATCATGGAAATATAATATGCTCCCATCAAACTCGTGAGATGAACCTCTGTTGGTCATGGTCAATCATGAAATGTAACAAAGCGGCCATTCATAACTCATAGTCAATGCATCTGTGCATGAGTTTTTAAGGGATGAACATTGCTTTTGATCTTTTGCATGCTTGCCGAGTATTTTTATCATACATTGAAACCGTTTATAGTCACATTTAGCAAGTAAATGTAGCCGTACATGTTAATAACCCTGTCAGGAACATCTTTGATGTTGAGGACTGTTGATTCTTATCTACCATTTTGCAGGATCACAAGAGTGGTCAGCAGATAAAGAGATGACCTCGGAAGCTGACCCTCTTAACCCCTAATAACCCGATATTTCCATCTCCGACACATAAAAAAGAGCAAACGCAGTTGCTCTGACGCCTTCTTCTCTCGAGGATTTACTACTACTCTTACTTAATTCGTTGGTCCTTGAGTCATAAAGCCTTTCCACTTATTAGTTATGTTTGGATTTTGTGCTTTCACAAGATGTAGCAAGTACTCGAACCTGTGCACATCGGTTTCATTTGGGCTTTGGCCAATTATTCTTCTTTGAATTTTTCAACTTTTTGTGCCTCGAGAAACAATCTTTATAAGTCGATATTGGCCCTAAACCATAGTAATACAGAAATGGTGCTTTTGATGTTGGTAAGGGCTCAAATGTGTCTATTACAAAAGAAACACAGTTTGTCTTGTCTCTCTCTCGTTGGGAATAGGCAATGATTACCTCTGTCTAAGCGTGGAATGGTAATGCGAGCCAGTAGTAATTAACTTGATACATTTGAACACATGAATCTATGGAGCCACACGTTATATTATTATAAGACTTGGTGGCCATGTGAGACGATACGCAAGCAAGCAGACATTGTATAATAAGAAAATGAATGTTTGATTAGAGATCCTTTTATGTATTGATACGATGCGACAATGCCCACTTAAGGCCATGTGCCCCATCCTCAGGGGCACAAGTGTCATTTCTGTATCCTTTGCTTCACCGATTTATATAAGATTTTCAGGAGATCTGAGACTCACTCACCAATCA